TCTGCCTCCTGAGTGCTGGGATTAAAGGCGTGCGCCACCACACCTGGTGAAAGAGTTGAACATATCTTCTATGTTGAAATTTAGCACAATGGAGTTGTATTTCTTGTTAAGCATGTTTAAACTTATTTTAAATAGTTTGGGGGGGGGCAAACTGCAGAAGAAAAAAAAACCCAACCGTATGAAATAGTAGGAAACTGGGGATGCTACATATTTTTACAGTAAGCCACATCCCAGGAGGTTCATTATAAAAATAAAAATAAAAAAGAATGTCAATTACATGTGTATTGAATTTTTAACTACATGAATGGTCAAGATTAACTGAGGATGATAGCAGATCTCGGGATTTTCTCATTTAAAGGCATCAGTAACATATTCTATTTTGGTATTTGGAGGCAAGGTATTACAGGGCAAGATACAAGGGTACTATGCAGGGCTGGCAAGATGGCTTAGTGATAAGGATGCCTGCCACCAAGCCTGACGACCTGAGTTCCATCTCTGTAGTACAAGAGAATCAATTCTGCAAGTTGTCCTCTGACCTCCACATGCACAGAGAAGGTTCTGCAGGAGTGACAAGTATGTACCCCCCATACCCAATAAAATGTTGAAAGAAAGAAAGAAAGAAAGAAAGAAAGAAAGAAAGAAAGAAAGAAAGAAAGAAAGGAGTGCTATGTAGAACCCCATTTGTCTCAAGTGGTATTTACTGTGGGAAAAAAAAAATCTAAAACATCTTGTGTAACATTCTGGAAAAAAAAAGCCATCTGAGAATCTTTGTAATTCATCATTAAATCATCAAATGGAGCCCTTTCTAAACTTATTTCTTTTTTAAAAATAAATATTTTATTTAGGGGCTGGAGAGATGGTTCAGTGGTTAAGAACACCAGCTGTTCTTGTAGAAGACCTGGGGTTCGAATCCCAGCACTCACATGGCAGCTAGCAACTGTCCATAACTCCAGTTCCAGGGGATCCAACAGCCTCTTCTGTCCTCCGCAGGCATTGCACAACATGGGTGCTCTTACCTACATGCAGACAATACATGCATACACATAAAATAAAAAATAAAATATCAAAAAAAAATTTTTTTATTATTTTATGTGTATGAGTGTATTGCCTGCATGTATGTGAGTGCACCTGTGTCATGCAATGCTACAGAGATCAGACAAGGGCTTTGGATTCCCCTGGAACTGGAGTTAAGGACGGTTCGTAGCCGTCATGTGGGTGCTGGAAATCAAACCCGAGTGTTCTGCAAGAGCAGTCAGTGCTCTTAAGCGCTGCTGAGCCATCTCTCTCCAGCCCCCTAAACTTATTTCTGAAAGTAGCTATCCATTTTAATCCAAAATTTCCAATCTGCCAGGCATGAAGCATTCCTAGGGGCTAAGACAGGAGGATCTTCGGTTCAAGGAAAGAAAGGAAGGAAAAAAAGTCCCAATCAGAGCCTTATGCTTCAATTACTTATTTCTATTAAAAAAGGAAAACAAGGGGCTGGAGAGATGGCTCAGAGTCCTGGCTGCTCTTGTAGAGGAGCTGGGTTCAAATCCCAGTACCTACATGGACTAACAACCATCCCTAACTCCAGTTCCTGGGGACCCGACGTCCTCTTCTGTCCTCTGTGGGCACCAGATGACATGGGTGCACTTACAAACATGCAGGCAATACATTCATACACATAAAATAAAAAATAAATAAATAAAAATAAATTTTAAAACCCTGTAAATTCTCTGACATTCACTCAAGAAATCTGGTGCTTTCTCTTTACCGTAAATTCATTTATACAGAACACGAATTACTTAAGATTTACTAAGTATAAAATGTTAGTATTTTCAACCATTGAATGATCTATTTAAAATAACACAGAAAAAGCTCAAAGATAGCTTGATATCATGTGCACATCTTTTTTAAAAAGACTTTAAAATTTTTTATGTGTATGAGTGTTTTGCCTACATGTATATAAACGTACCACCATGTGTTCCTGGTGTCCTCAGAGACCAGAAGGGACTGGATCCCCTGGAACTGGAGTTAAGGGCAGTTATTATCCCACATGTAGGTGCTGGGAACCAAACCTGAGTCCTCTGAAAGAGCAGCCAGTGCTGCCATCTCTCTAGCCCATCATATATAGATCTTTGAGTGACCAATAGTTCTGTTTTAAGATCCCCATACATTAGTATAGGCTAGGGAAAACTTTATCTGAAGTCAAACCTTAACAAAGAAAAACAAAGTACAAAAACTCAACCACAGATGTAAAGCAACTCTAGAACAACCCAAATTCTTTGAAAGAAAGTCTCTTATTTACTTACATGTAATATATTTAGAGGGAATCTGGGAAAGATGGCTAAAATTCTATAAACAGAAAAGTACTAAACATAATTACTGTTACACACTTCGATTAGTAGTTATAAACATTGCCAGGAATCTTTACTATTATATGCTCTGAAATCTTTGTCAATTTTCCATTTTTTCCCCTTCTTTTAACTGGTTTTTAAAATGCTTTATATTCCTCAGTCAAAATTTGTGACTGGAATAAAACATACTTTCCAAAATAACACCTAACACCACCTCATTGCAATCATCTATTGGTCATTATAATATTTTAATATAAACGTGTGTATCTATGTGTATGTGGGGGGTCTTTCTGACTTAAGTGATAGATCTTTATTAATGTTTCATGGTAAATTCTAGTCTTTGGGCTCAAAATCTCTACCAGCTACAGCAGCTTCTATCTGAAAAACTTCACAAAGCAGTGCTCTATAGGCCTTTACACCTACCTCCTGGACAGTCACAATGAAGCACACTCTGAAATGAAAGAACTCTTCAAAGACACAAGTGACATTTTAGCAAGCCAAAAGGAAGCCAAAGCGAAGTCAAATGGGAACTTGAGGCCCCCTGAAACTTGCCTCAGTGGAACTATTTTCTGTGCCATATTTTCCAGCGATTTGTTTTAAAGGTCCCAAAGAAATGAGGAAACCTGCAAAGCCAGATTTCACAAGTCTACACTAACTTCTGCCTCTGGACTCCAGAGACTGAGCAAAGGTACCATGTTAGTAGTTTCCTGACAATACAAATGGCCCTGGTAAATCTGCTTGGTAAGTACCATGGAAAAAGCTCAACATAAGGGTACTTAAATGCCAATTTTAAAGAGCATGTAACTAACCCCCAAACCAGTCACGAAGGCAGATTTCCAGCTTGCTGTTTTCAAGTCGATAAAGAATACTGTAATCACACTAAAAACCTAGGAGGTCATTTTCCCTTTAAAAGCCTCACTAGATGAGGCACTATACCCACAACATGCAACCTTCCACACACTTAACTGTTCCATTTTCAAATTGTTAAACTTCAGCTCTATTAACAGACTTAGAAAGGGGACAGGTACAGAACTGGGAGAAAAAAACAAAACAAAATAAATGCCTCACTTTCGTTTCCGACACAACCATCAGATGTAAAAGCTGGGGGAAGTTATACAATATAAAATTAAATTCAAAGGAATTATGCATGTTAAGTGAAAATAGTATTATTACAGTTCTGATCATTAGTCAAGTCAGGGGAAAAAAACCCTGTAAATGGCACCTGATTTAAAATTGTCATACTTTCCATTTGGTATTTAAAATTAAAAAGTATCAAATAAATTGCCCTCAGAGTTAAGTATACTCCAGACGTTAACTGTAAAAAATAATAATAATAACGAATTTACATGCTGTATTTACATAAACCAGCACAATGTTTTGAAGTATATAGAGCTCAGTACTCTGAGAAAACATTTTCTTTTAGCTAAGAAGAAAACCTATCATAAACCGAAACAAGAATTTCAGGATCTGCACCTTTTCCACAATTCAAAAATTTTAGTTCATACTATGCAAACTTAAGTACTGTGGAGGAAAATGTCCTATCTGAAACAAAAGATCACCTGCTATGAAGACACAGTAACATTCTTCAGTTAGAAAAAGTCAACAGCCCTCAACCACAACAGATAGCCTGTCTGTTACCCTGGGGCTTCAGTGCTTGGTACACCAAGCCTCTTATGGATCCCCAGTAGTATCTGTTAGTCTACTACCTGATGAATAAACGATGGGAAGACTGCTGGTACTCAAACCACTGTACGTTTTGCTGTGTGTAGTGACCAAAACATGGTAAATGTAGATAGGCTGAACAAAAACTACCTCCTGTCATCACTGACTCTTGCTTCGTAAGAGTCTTGCACATACAAAAATAATAGATGGTGAGGTTGAGTTTATGACTTACAATACCTTCACCACTCGGAGCGTTTCCAGAACGTCCTTTGAGATTTTAAGATTCAAACACTGTTAACAATTCTTGTCTAAAACTACCTACCAATTACCCAGCCTTCTTGAGATTTCATTTAATCTGTACAAAATGAGCATCTTCAACTTTTCCACGGGGCACTGGAGACTGAGTTATTACTCATAAACGCTCTCAGATCCTCAGACACCAGGCGCGGCAGACGAAGCATAGCCATCAATTTGAGAGCTCTTCGCACCTCAGTTTACCCACTTGCGAAAACGGGTTTGGCAAGGGCTCGGGAGGTGAAATTAATTAGTGTTTTTAAAATGCCCTGGGATCCAAAGATGAAAGGAAACGTGAGAGGCACGCAGAGATGATGACAACCATCATAAGAAAAAGAAGGTCTAACTTGGAAGTCCGCGTTATGTAAGGCAGAGGCAGAAGTTGGACTCAAACAAAAGCCCACCGCCGCCTTTGTTTCCCTCTCCCGCAGCCGGCCTCCCCGCCGCGGCACGCTCCCCCTGTAGCCCGGCCGCGGGGACAGGTCGGGACCCGGACTCGGCACCACCGGGCCGGGCGGACCGCGGGGCCCAGAACCCCGCCGCCGTGGGGGAGGCGCGGCTGCCGCTGACAAAGGCGCTTCCCTCGCCGCGCGGGATGCTGCGCCGCAAACCGCGCTCCCCGCCGCGTCCCCGCGGGCGCGTAGGCCGCCGGGCCGCGCTGGAGCCTCGCGGAAGTTCGCGCCACCGGCCCGCGCCGCCCGTACTCACCCGACGACGGTTGCTGGTCGGACGCTGCACCGCCCTGGCCCGAGCGTCGAGCCCCGGGGCCGGGGCGGAGAGCGCGCGGGGTGGACGCAGACGCCGGCGGAGCCCGGTGAGGCGAGGGGAACACGGAGCCGAGCGCCGAGGAGCCGCGGACGAGCGAGAGGGGGCGGCCCGCTTTGTGCTGCGCTCCCCGAGCCCGAGGCAGATCCGGTGCTGCGCGGCCGCCGCTGCTGCCGCCTCTGCCGCCACTGCTGCTGCTGGCGCTGGCGCTGCGCCCCCGACAGTCCCTCCGCCTTACAGCGCCTCCGGGTCACTGACACACTCGCAGGGAGGGGCGGGGTCTAGTTGAGTGGGCGGGGCCTGAGGGGACAGGGCAGGACCACCTCGGGAGGCGGCCCCGCGAGGCCTCCCGGGAATTGTAGTTTTCGACTGAGAGAACACGGGCTAGGTCGAAGAGGAGCCCACCGCTCGCTCTGCATTGCGCATGCTCGAGGAGATGGGGGCGGAGACCGTTGTGGTCACCGATTCTCTAAGCTCGAGTGTCCTGGACTCTAGTTAACTAAAACAAGGCCGGTCTTGTGTGTCGTGGTGTTGCTGGGCTCCGGTCCATAGCCAGTCGGACTCTCCAGCTTCGTTCCACCCCAACCAACTGGCCTCACAACTTAACAAGTGCCTGGTGAAATCTAACTTCCTCCGGATAAGTCAGTCTGCCCGGCTGCTTAGATTTCTTCTGCAAATCCTAAATCATGAATATTCCCTTTCCCTTGCCTCCATCAAATGAATCCTTAAACTCAAGTTTTTTAACCTAAGACACTGAAATCTAGTTATTCCTACTATTTTAATCATTAGGTTATAAAACTGTTAGGAACATCACCATTAACAAACTCCCATAGAAATTTCTTTCCTCAACCAGTTTCAACTAATTCTAATACAAGCAAAGGTAAAGTTCAGGATTATTAGCACTGTATTTTACTTGATCACTGCAAACCATATTTATTCACATATTAGGCCCATAATTCTTAAGACGTAGAAATTTTATAAATATAAGCTCAAAACATAAGTGGATAGTTCAAAATTGTCAGTGTATATATTGGCCAATTTTCATTTGGTAATGAGAAACCGGAACCAAGGAATGAGTATGCTGTTGGGCTGGTCAGCTAAGTCTACACCCATCCTCGGTACCCAGGAATGCATACGTGGTGGTGGTAAGTGGATGAATGTTTTACCAGCTCTCCAGAAGTCTAGAGATAGCCTGCCCCAAGCCTTTTGTCTTTCCTTCTTAGCCTACCTAGAACCTTATACTCTGGAAGAAAAGGTTAATGCCCAGGAATCAGGCACACAATTCCAAGAAAGGAAACTCAAGCTTTTCAAATAATCTCAGGATAAAAAGACCTGATGCCTTCAGACCACATAATTATTGGCCCATTCAAGAAACAAGAAAGCATTTTTACTATGTGGCAGGCATTTTGTTGCCTCAAAAATAGAGCTAGAAAAATCTAAAAGCAGCACACTTTGTCTTCAACATGCTTACTCTGCTAAGGAAGACAGGTAAATGGATGGTGTGATATATGCTGTCATAGGAAAATGTGTATAACCCCAGAGTTGGGCAAGGTCAGGAAATACTTTAAAGATAATTTGAATATAAGGATGACTCACAATCAATCTAGTCATGTATTTTAGTGACAAAGGAGGAAGAGAAAAGTGATGGAGAATACCAAGGGCTAAGACACAGAGGCTAGTGATGTAAGAGCATTTTGTAAATAAGTATTCAACATTACTAGCAGTGGTAGAATGGATTTGGGAAGAGTGGCGAGAGAAGTCTTCAGAAAGGTAAAGGAGACAGCTAAACCCACAAAGGGCCTTATATGATATGCTAAAGAATGTGGAATTTGGGGGGTGGGGGCAATGGAAAACCATCCCAGAATTGTAAGCAGATGAAATTTTCACGTTAACAGTTTTATAAAGGGGAAAATATAAAAGACTGAACTAGGACATGGGCAGTAACAGGAGACAAAATTGAGGACTAACCAGCCCCTACTTAGAGAATAGAATTAGTAGAAGCTAATGATTAATTGCCTGTGTTTGGGGGTGAAGGGTGACAGAAAACTATGGATTGGGGTGCTTTTGGTTGCAAGCAGCAGAAACCCAATTCTAACTGGCTTAACCAATAAAGGAGATTTTTTTTTTTACCCATTTCACAAAAGAGTCCAGGTAAAAGGATGGCTACAGGGATAATTGATTCAATAGTTCAGTGAGGTCATTAAAGACCCAATTCTTTTTTGTTTTCATTGCTTTTCTTTCCTTTGTATTAGCTTTATGGTCAAATGACAGTTGCCAACAACTTTTGTGGCTGTAAGTTTTGACATCTGCATCTAAGAAGATAAAAGAAGGAAGTCACTTTTGGAAGCTCTTTTTAGAAAGGAGTGAAAACTCCATTCCCAGAGCCTCAATGATTGATTCAAACACACATGCATAACCTAAAAATGGTGGACAGTAAAAGGCACATGATTAATTATCTCAGGATGAAGACATAAGCCCACTTCTAGAGAAAAGGCTGGGATAAGGAGGTGTGTTCATCACAATAAAAGTTGAGGTGATGACCTGGGGGCCCAAGAAGGCCATCACAGTGGAAGAAGCCAAGGAAGCCCCCCTGGAGTCTAGCTTCTGTTCTACAAGCAAGGAATGTCATGCCTCAAGTTAGGAAATAAAGGAGAGTCGGTGGCTTTGGGGGGGGGCAATTTGATTAGTGCCCTATGGATATGTTGAGACGACTCTGGGACATCTAGGTAGAGAAGTAAAGTGGGGAGTTATGTACATGACCCTTGGGCTCGGGAAAGAGATCAGGGTAACAGAAGACAGAACTGGAATACACCATCATAATGAATGCTTGTTGAGATTATGGGAGTGGGTGAGATCATTTGCCATGGCATACACAGCAAAAAAAAAAAAAGGGGGGGAGTCAGTAGCAGAAGCTTGGAGAACATTGACATTGAAGAAGTGGGCAAGAAGACCACAACAAGGGATATAGAGGTGGCAGGAACATCTAACCTAGAACCAGGAGTAAACAATTTACAAAAAGCTCAGGACCGACATGGTAGGATCATCAGTCAACAAAATTAAAGCAGTTATGATAACCATCTTCCATATACTGAAAGAGAAAATAGAGATAGAAAAAGCATAATCTAGAGATTAAAATTACAACTTCTAAAATAAAATTTTGCTGGACAAGATGAACACTCAAAGATTAGCCACTGAACAAAGTAAGACACTCAAATGGAAAAAAAAAATAGTACACTTGAAGACAGCAATAGAATCTATCCAAAAAAACACATTAAAAAGAACTAAAGAGGGGCTAGAGAGATGGCTCAGTGGTCAAGAGCATTGACTGCTCTGGCAGAGGACCTGGGTTTGGGTTCCAGCACCTACATGGTGAATAACAACTGTCTGAAACTCCAGTTCCAGAGGATCCAACGCCCTCTTCTGACGTCCCTGGGCATTGCACAACACGGTGCACCTACGTACATGCAGGCAATACACTCATATACATAATCTATCCAAAAAAACACATTAAAAAGAACTAAAGAGGGGCTAGAGAGATGGCTCAGTGGTCAAGAGCATTGACTGCTCTGGCAGAGGACCTGGGTTTGGGTTCCAGCACCTACATGGTGAATAACAACTGTCTGAAACTCCAGTTCCAGAGGATCCAACGCCCTCTTCTGACGTCCCTGGGCATTGCACAACACGGTGCACCTACGTACATGCAGGCAATACACTCATATACATAAAAATAATAAAATATTTTAAATTAAAAAAAGACTAAAGAAAAAACTGGCCCAAATCTTGGTTGGGCATGGTGGTGCATGCCTTTAAGCCCTTGGGAGGCAGAGAAAGGCAGCTCTCTGGTCTGTATAGTGAGTTTCAGGGCAGTTGTGGCTACAGGAGACCTAATTCTCAAAAAGACAAAAAAAAAAAAAAAAAAAAAAGAAAAACAAAGTTAAAATGGGTATTTTAAGATAATTTAAAGCCAAAATAACAAAACTGTATGATAGGACTACAGCATATGTAGAATATGTAGAAGTAAAATGTTTGACAATAAATAGCACAAAGGACAGAAGAAAGAATTACATTGTTTAGAAAGATCATGCACTATATATGAAGTGTGTTACATTACTGTTTACAGGTTAATTGTAAGTTAAAGATACATATTCTAAACCTTAGAATAGTTGTCAAAAATGAAACAAATATATAAAGTCATTAGTGATGGTAAAACAAAATCCTAAAACAAACAAGGAACACCTTGAATAGAGACAGAGAAATACAGAAGAAAATTGTATCCCTAACTATGGAGTTGACATACCAGCTCTGGACTCTGTCACCTGACTTGTTTTAAATTTAGAGGGAAACAAGGCCTGTTAAAGGCCTTGCTATCTAGTAGTCTGTCTTATGTATAGCTGAACCCAATCAAGACAGTCACAAGCCTATAGCAGTTTCATGAAATAAAATATATTTCTCAGAATCAGATCCATCCACATATTGTACAGAATTTGGCCACATTGCCTTCAACTTCATCATAGCTCTGGGATTCATATTTAGCAAGTGTTTGACTTTTGTATAAACATCAGTATTTGATTCAATCCATTTTTCCTTTTCCTTCCTCCCTCCTTCCTTCACTCTGTCCCTTTCTTATTATTGTGTATCTGTACGTGCATGAAGGCTAGAAGAAAACTTTATGAGGTCAGTTCTGTCCTCCGATTTATGTGGGTTCTTGGGATAGTACATAGGTCACCAGAACTGTACAGCAAAGACCTTAGCCATGGAGCCATCTTTTTAAAATGTTTTGTTAACACAGGGTCTATGTATCCTAAGCCCATCTAGAAGTCACTATGTATCTCAGACCGGCCTTAAACTTAGCATCCTCCTGCCTCTGCCTCCTGAATAGTGAGATAGTAGGCATGTCTCAACCATTCCTGGCTCTGGTTTTTCTTTTCTTTTTCTTTTTCTTTTTGGTCTTTTTGAGACAGGGGTCTCCCTTTAACCCCAGCTGGCCTGGAACTTACTATGTAGACCAGGCCTCAAACTCCTGCCTTTGTCTCCCGAGTGTTGGTATTAAAAATGTGCACCACCATGCTCGGCTC